AAGGGGGGAGGGGGTAATCGGATAGCTCTCCAAATGCACTTTAAAACAAGCCTTTGGTCGATGCGATTCGCTTCGATCTTCCCTTCCAAAACTAGAATAAAACGAGTGATTTTTGCATAAAAATGTCCGTGCGTAACCTCTAGAATTGCTCTATACGGCTCGGTTTTGCACCCCCACCGCATAGCACTTCCGACTCCGACGCGCCTGGGCCTGGATTGAGAAGTCCATACTCCACTTCCGGGAGGTGACCTCCCCTGCTTCCAGCTTCCAGCGTGCCTCCAGAAGCTCCGGCCGCGTGGAGTATCAGCCCGCGGGCCCCCGCGGAGAAAGCACGGGCACGCGTGTGGGGGGCCACGGCTAAAGCCACGGCGTGCTGCAGAGAGGGGAGGCGGCGAGGGCCGCGCCTCCCGCGGTCAAGGCCACGGTCATTGGACCAGTCGGCCACGAGAGGCAGTACTAGCACGTCGGCGTGCTCTCCTCAAACACCAGGGGGGCACGACGCACACTCGAGCGGGGCATTCGACCACTGTACGGGCGGGGCTCAAACCCTTTCGTCGAAATAACACCCTGCTCAATATTTGGGCCCCCGAGCCGTAAAAATTAAATAAGGCTCTGAGATGTGAAAACAAGTGCGAGACTGCTATGCTTTAGATAAGATGCGGGGCGCGTTGCCTCACATTACCAAATGTAGGGCACGAGTGCTTCACATTACCTAATGTAGTGCACTAGTACCTCAGACCTCAGGTAAGGTAAAGCTGCGTCGGACGCTTGTAGGTGCCTCGCATTAGCAAATGTGAGCCACTCAGTGTGAGGCACCACGTCCCTCGTTAGCAAAAATATAGCAGACTCACAATTGGTTTAACTGTGTACAGATCTGAGGACCGCCTCAGCCCTCCCGGCCCCCTCCGGCCGCCGCCCTGGGGCTCGGACCTTGCTCTCATGACATGACTAGGCTTAATCCACTTTGAATGTGCCTCGCCGCCGGACTCTGGCGCCCTTCGACGGGCCGCGGTGATAGATTGACAATTTATTGTTCCCTTCACAAGTTTCCGTCCGGGTGCGGCGGGGCGGCCTTGGGCTGAACTAGTATATAACTACACCGGCCAGACTTGTATGCCGTACCTCGCGGGGCGGGGCGGGGCGGGGCGGGGCGGGCGAGGCTTGGCGACGGGCGACGACCATGCTCCGGAGGCTCGCACGCGCTGCGCTCTGCGCCGGACCCGTACCAACGCATTCACCAGAACATTTTATTGCACCTGGCACCGCACTGCCCGCGACACTGGAGCGGCGTGGGGCCGAACGGCGGGGCGGGAGCGGGAGGTAGAGGAGGAGGTCTTCCTGTCGACTGATACAGAGGATCGCTCTCCTACCTCCGTCCTCGTCGCACGCATGGGCGAGGGACAAGGCGCGCACGACTAAAACGTTCTGTGGAATCAGCCGGCTACGGCTGGGGGGAATTAGACGAGCGCTAACGACTGTCAACCCGACTCAATGGCGCTCGACGCCGCGGCAAGGACTCCGCCGAGTAGCGCACGGAAGGAAAGAAGAAAAAAAACGAGAGGCATTAGCTCTCTACTGATTCCTCGAACTGTCGAACTAGTCATCGAGAGGGAATGACCGAGCAGAGGAGTAAGGAGTAGGCCTCTACGAGTGCATCGTTATCTCACGGAATGGCAACCGCAGGCACAATGCACGATTGCGCGTGTTTTCAATTTTGCATTCTTCCCAGTTCATGGCCCGCTCTTGCGGTTTTGCGGGTTTATGTAAACGAACTGGTGTCGCTGTCAGTCTGTCGCACGAAAAAGAGCTCAGAACGGTTCAGCTATCGAATTCAATTTTTGTGACATATCTGAGGGGTTGCTGCTAGCCCGAAACAAAAACGCCATCTGCAAATCCTGGCAACTGTCATTGGAGGGTAGATCGGGAGAAATGAAAATGATTTTTTTTCTCCGGTTTTCAAAGGAGATCTTGTCGGGTTACGGAACTGAACTTTTTACTAAACTAATTTTGTCAGCCTTTGCTCTCTCACCCTGTTAAAGCACCAGCGGGGTTTTTCGACGATAGTAAGTGGAAAACATCGTAGAAAGGCATAATAATAATAATTTTGGCAGAGGGAGGACAGGTGTGCTAGTTTTTTCCCTCATAGGGGGACCAGGCGGGACGTGCATTGCGCGAATACAGATGATAATTGTGTCAAGGTAAAATCCGTAAATCCGTGCGCTCATTTCCACCTGTTCATTTCCTTTGGCATTTTATAACGAGCGGATTTCGCCCGATTTCACACACGCAGACGCCGCCATACTAATGCAGGTTCTCCAGTGAGAACTTCACACATAAAAAATACAACTTGTTAAACGACATTGAGTCGAAATTGGGCACACTTTGAAGGCATTGACGACATAATTTTGTTATATAACCACAAGAGTCAACGTTATCGGTTCACTATGTCGCTGAAAAAAAAAATCATTATGAACTTCCCTAGATGTTTTTTTTTCTCCCATTTGGTTCGAAGGTTGCATTGCGCGCAGCACACTGGGAATGCCTGATGGGCTGGGCTTTAACCAACGAACGTCCGGAAGAGGGAGAGAGGAAATAAAGGGAGGGGGAAATGAGGAACGAGACGGAACCGCATTTCGAAAGCAGCCGCGACTAGGTTGCGCTAAGATAACTGCTACGCCTTGAGCGCCTCCAGCGATGATGCTGTTGTTCCGAGGTCAGTGTCGGCCCATAGGCGCGTCACGTGCCTGGGGGAAAATAAAGTTGAACATTCACCAGTCTTTGCATAGTGACCTCACACCTATATCCACCCCCTAAAAAACAAACAAAAAAAACTCACTTTGAGTCATTTTTTAAAGTTTGACTGCCAAAGTGAGTCAAAACTTGAGCAGAAAGGGACTCACTTTGTCAGTCAAAAAACCAAAAAAGGCTTCAAAGAGAGTCAACGTTCAGTTGATCGAGTTAACTGGGTAGCCTTTAGCTTCCTGATAGCGGTGAAAAATACCAAAAGTTGCACTGGCGTTAGAAGGGGAAGTCCCGACCGGTCAGCTTGGTCAGTCTGGTCCAGTACCCCCGCGAGAAATTTCCCGCGCTGTCTTGGCACTGCGACACGAGCGACACTAGAGAGGATCGCGAGAATGAGAAACTACAGCGGCGGCGGTACTTAGGTCAATGGCAGTAGGTCGCCACGCCTCTCTTATCTACCATCCCAACTCGCTGACAGCCAACTATCTCTCTCCCATACACGCCACACACACCCACACACAGACGCTCGAAGACGCACATAACCGCAGCTGAGACATGCGCATGCGAGTGAAGGCTGGCTGCTTCTGTAAACGACGCCCAGCAGCAGACGACACGACTTGAACGACTTGAACTCACTGTGATTGGCCGGCTGCGGAGAGTGAGAGGAGGAGAGGTGAGCTCCGTGTCGTGGAGCGGCGCGGCGCGGACTGACTGAGAGAGGGACCGGAGGGACCTCTCAAGAAGTGGTCAGCTGAGTGGCTCGGGGGGCTCGGGCGCGGCGTACGGCGGC